TCACTATGAATGCCCAAATCTTTTACACGGCTATCATGGAAATTGGCACACATGTTGGCTTAATAATGATAGTACTCGTTCAAAATTTTAAGCTCAATTCCATTCAGACAAGGATTTATTGATTCGGATATTTTATTTCAAATAACTACAACTAATAATAAGAATAATTAATAACTACAACTAATAACAACTCTCACGCTCTCTCACGCACACTCACTTTCAATAATCACTTTTTTCTTTTTTGAAAGTGAAATTCATTTCCTCTTCCTTATTTTAAAAAAAATCATTAGGCATTGGTCGATGAATATTTTTTTCTTTCTTAAAATTATTTTTCTTCTTTTTTTAAATAAAAGCATTTCTTTTCTAAATAAACTACCACCTTGTGCCTTTGAATATTATGCACATAAATCTCATGTTTCCAGGTTTTCTAGGATTTTGTCAATTATTTCTGAAAAAAAGTTTTAATTTGACTTAAAGAATGGTTTATAGCTCCATTAAAAAGTTTTTTTGATGGAGAGTTAGTGTTTCAATTAAAAAGAAGACATGTAACTTACCTTATTTTCTAAAATAAATTGACATTAGTATATAATAGAAACGCACATGTATCACTCCGATTATACAAGGCGGCGAACTTTCATTTTGGTGTCAAGTGGACTATTTATATGTTTTACATATAGTAATAAATTAGACTAATTGAACACAAAAATGGCCTATTATATTAATAATTACATCATTTGCGCATTTATTGATCAATGCAAGACAGTTGGTACCATTTGTTATCTAAATAAAATTTTGAGATTAGCGATGTATGAAATATATTTTTGGCGCTAGGTCGGAGATGGCAAGTGTATGTTTTGGTAATAGTCTATTTGAAATAGCTGTTTGTAAAATAACAATTAAAAAAAAATAAAAACTCCGACCAAAATTTTTTTCCAAAAATATATTTCTGACAAAAAAAAATTTAAAGCAGCTCAAGTTCTTTGACACGCGATAACAAGCGTCTTCAATAAGTATCTATTTTGTTTTCATTTTTAATAAATTTTTGGACAATTCCTTTGAAAAATTTTAAACTCAAAATGTCATCCTTAAATAAAAGTCAACGTAGTGAAATCATTGGTCTATATAGAAAGAATGTACCAAACCACAAAACAACTAAAATTGTTGGTGTCCCTAGAAAAACAGTGACTCGTACTATTCAAAATTACATTGATGGAAAAGATATTGTCACAAAAGTCAATAAATTAATCAATGTCCTAATTAAATTGATTGAGAGTATGCCAAGGAGAGCTGAAGGAGTAATTGAAAATAATGGATGGCCAACGAAAGATTATCAAATTTTAAATTTTTTGGTATGATTACTATTGTGTATGTTTTTCATTGATCATTTTTTTTAATCATTAGTTTAATAAAAATATTAAAGATGTGAATATTTGCATATATAATTTGGTGAAGTATTGTTTTTTGTTTAAACATGCGCCCGACTTTTTATATAGGGGGTGTATAGTTACTTGTTGCTTAATAAAATGTCTAATTATATAGTAAAAGTTACTCAGATAATTAATACATAATTTAATGAGTTTCATGCCCACAACTAATACCATAAAAGTATTTGTTCGAATATTTGAAATGAAATTCGAAGAGCAAAAATTTCAAAAAACTGTTATTATTATTATTATAATAAGAACAAATTTATTAATAAAATCCGTTATGCCATTATAACAAGAAATCCTCTGTGGCAAGGTCCGTTGTGATGAGGTTTGACTGTAAATCCTATGTATGAAAAAACTTCCTAATGTTGGAGAGAATTTCAAAAGAGAAAACCGAATTTAACACAGCTTGCTTGGGAGAATATGCAAAATGATAATATACATGCCATGCAAGATAGTAATAGTAAATTGAGGACCAACTTGGATTCCAATTGTTGCGTTTTATATCATGACAACATCAATGACGCATTTTGGCATTTAATATTAGTAATTAATAATAGTCATTCATTTATTAATCATTCTATTTATTATATTCTATTGGACAAAATCATGTAAAAAGTCATGTATAAATACATTTAAAAATTTCCTTCAATTTTTTAATAATATACATTTGATAATAAAAGCTGTAATTAATTAATAAAGTTGGTTGATTCATAATCCTTTCTGATGATTAATGGTTTGGCCAACCTTTAACTATTAGTTAGGAACCCTTTTAATTTTACTATATTGCTTATAGTGAGTGGTGCCTCAAGTAGTATCTTTCTATTTTTTTTTAGAGCATATGAAGCTGGAAAGAAAAATGATACACTTGGCCAGAACTCACCTGCAATAATAGTACATGTGCATCTGGAAATAAACCCTTGCACTTGACCAAAACTAGGGTTTCTATTCGAATAAAACGAATAATTTGAAATAATTCAAAATTTGAAATAAAACAAATAATTTGAATAAAACAAATGAATAATTTGAATAAGAATTAGCATTACGAATTTAATTATTTTTGAAAAAAATTGAACAAGATACTCAGGAAATAGATTTTTTCCACAATGATGAAAATTCAATTACAAATACGACTTGATGCTTCAATATAATAATGGTAAAAAATTATTTAATAAAAAATAAAAATAGATTCTTATAAATTAATCTAAATGATTTTTTTTTTAACATAGTTAGTGATTCTGCTATTGAAAGCAAGTTCTAGAAAAAAAGGATTGGTTGATGTGAGCCACATTAATGTCAACATACCAATACCAAAAAGAAAAAGATCAAGGGTGTTATATGTGTTGAGTTATTATTGTGAAGGTATTGCTGATGAAGGTAAGCAGATCATTGTCTTGTTGTGTACTTTTACTGGTTCTGGACAAGGACCATATTTTTTACTAGATTTTTTATATCATTTATATTCATAAAGTGTTCCAGAGGATAATTTCACACCAATTTCAACATAATTAAGTTTTATATCATAGTATACTAATTTTTTTCTAGGTCACATAGAAAATGTGGTGTGAAACATGTTCCAGGATGCATCAAAGAAACAAAAATTTGTCATAGTATTTATAAACAAGGTATAGAGATCAAAGTAGTTTTCATCATTTAAAGCATAGCAAGAAGTAAGCAGAATGAAGTGGAGCTTAATGAAAACAAGGCACAGAGAACAAAATAGTTTTCATTATTCAAGCATAGCAAGAAGTAAGTGGAATGAAATGAAGCTATGGAAAACAAGGTATAGAGAACAAAGTAGAAAATAAAAGAAGTACACAAGGTAGATAGACATATCAAGAAAACAAAATTCAGTACACAAATAGGTAGAGAACAAAGTGAAAACAATCTGCATAGCAAAATTGGAGCAGTTGATACCAAAACAATAAAACTAATAAATTAATAACATTTTCAAATTAAACATTTCTGCAATCTATATAAAAATAAACCAAAAATGTTTGAATATATTACTCAAATTTTCAGCTATATTGGCAATGCATTAAAACCCCTCACTGATAGTAGGGACTCATTTGAAGCTGGTGATCTAGTAGAGGTCAGAGAAGAAATCAAGTATGTAGGGTGAAAACACCAGAGTTTGTATTACCATCAGAACTGATTGGTAAAATTATAAAGCAAATCAAGGATCCAGTAAAAATTACAAACATAATGTTAGTAAACAAAACATGGTATAAAGAGGGAAAACATCAATTATATAAATATAGGAATGAAATAATGGAATGGTTAAAGATTAAAAAGGATCAATAAATTGAATAGATTTATAAGATATCTAAATCTTGATAGGTTAGATGAATACATTAAGATTCATAAAAAGCTTAAGGAAATTTGTGATGAATTATACATAATTGCAGAGAACAATTATAATGAAGCAATGGGAAAACTTCTAGATGAAGATACATTTGATTTCTGGTTAGATAATATTCACCATCCCAGGGTCCTTCCACAACTTGTTCTGGTATATTGTGGTAGTGCAGGTAGATGTGCAATGGGTGTGTTGCCATTCCATGCAAGTGAGCCCATTTGTCTTTGGTCATCATCAAGGTATAGAAGATCTGAGAGGGGCCTTACACACTTATTTCTTTTTAAAAAGGGAGACAAATTCGAAGGCAAGGTTGTGGTTTTTGATAAATATTTCTCATAGTTTGCATGTTTGGTGGCCACCAGGTCTGGGACACTTTACCAACACCCACTTTACCGACAAGACACTTTACTGACAACATGCGATGTGATATTTTAGCATTTTGTTAGTTTGTTTGATTGTGTAGAGATTAAGTGTAACCCCATGTGTTGTTGGTAAAGTGTCTTGTCAGTAAAGTGGGTGTTGGTAAAGTGTTCCAGACCTGGTGGCCAGTATCTGGTTCTAATTTTGAAAATTTCTTCTTTTCTCAAACATCAATGTGGCTAGTACCAACACAAGCAGGATCTAGCCATCTATTGAAGGTAGTATTTTTTAATATACTCATAGTGCCCAGTAATCTTTGGAAATACTGTTCCTTCAATATGATTCTTTAATTCTTTGGAAGATGACCTTCTGATTTTTGCTGTCATAACCATTTTTGACATTCATCAACAAAATCCTCACTATCAAGCAAGCATTCAATTTTTGTATGCTTTCCCTGTTGATGGATAGGAAGCTTACTATTATGTAAAAATAATTTCCCCAAGTTCTAATACATATAGTCATGTTTTCTCCAAAAACTGATTGCAACCTGCAAACTTACATCCATTTGTCCCATTCCATCTAAACACAATTGATAATAATGATTTAAACTCAAAAGCTGTATATATTCATAAGTATTATAAGAATCATCTGATTTAGATCTTCCAAACATGTTTGCAAGTCGGAGAAGAATGATGAAGATGAAGATGTTAATGATGAAGATGAAGATGTGGGTGTGGGTGTGGGTGTTTGGAAAAAGGTATCAATTTTTGCAATTGATTTTGCATGTTCTTTTAATTCTTCTGCTTTTCTCTCTTATGCCATTGAGTGGTTCTTGATGTAGAATTATAGTAAACTCATTTATTTTTTAATGCATCTTCTTTCCAGACTAATTCAAGTCTCTTTTCAACGTTTTGGAATTCTTGCAAGTCCTCTGCTGACCATTCTTTATCTTCCTCTAAAGCTTCTTGAATTTGGCCATCATTCTCTATCAACTCTTGTTGTTGCTCTTGAAATCCAGAAAAATGTCCATTTTTACTTCGTTGCCTTGCTGACACTTGTTGTTTGTGATTACTGGGACAAGGCATTTTATATAAAAAAATTAAGGTTAGTTAGTATAACAACCAACAATTAATATTAATCAATGTTTAAATTCTTATAATTTTTAGGTTAATCTTTAGAACACGTCTGCAGAGAAATTAATTTAATTAGGGAACTCTAATATATCACATGATTAATCAGTACATGATTTTTATTGGGTGATTTATTTGTTACACTGCATTTAGGAAATTGAAACATTGTCGGGTTAAGAGTTGGTGCATCATATATTATATGATATATTCTTGAATACATCACTTCAGCTTGTTAATGCTATAAAAAAATAAAAACATTAATTTGAAAAGGTAAGAAAATAAATAACACTCCAAATTATGTTTATGATTATTAAAAATTATGTACATTTATTTTTTTGTCAAAAGTCATTATTTTAATGTTTATATTTGACATCCAAATTTCAAATCAAAAAAATTCCAAATTGTAAAAAGTTACCTTTGTATAATATCATACTTAAAAATAAATAATTAACTTATTCAGGTAATTCATCTGGTATAGTTAATTCAATCTGTTTAGAATCTACAAAAATAGCTAAATCAATTTGTTTAGA